GCCTCATCTTGCTTTCGAGTAACGTTACGCGACGTCGACGACTTTGAAGCGACAATTCGTCGCAGTTGCTCCATCCTAGAATTCGCTTCATTTCCCCGTGACAATATAATTAATTTGTTTTTTAACGGAGGCCCCATGAAGAACCCCGTCAAACCTTAATTTTAATAGTTGAAACACGCCCTTTTAAAAACAATCACCCCGCCCACCCGCCCGTAAAAACAATTACCCCGCCCGCCGTAAAAACAATTGCCCCCCCGTCCGTAAAAACAATTGCCCCTCCCGCCGTAAAAACAATTACCCCGCCCGTCCGTAAAAACAATTACCCTGCCCGTCCGTAAAAAAAATTACCCCGCCAGTCCGTAAAAACAATTATCCCACTTACCCAACCCTTAATGTCCCAATTTAGCATTAATTAAAAAAGTTAAAAAATATACGTTACATATATATATCTGTATATAAAATATATTAAAAGTTAAAACCTGAATCACATGGTTTGTGTGACACTAGCGATACATTCTACATAACTACCGACAGACTTTCACTGATCGACATTTTTTTAAAAGTCATAAAACGGTGCATTAGAATCAGGTTATAATTATAAAGATACTAAAATTTGTAAGGAATTTTTTTTACTAATGCGCAGAAGATGATTATATAGATGAAAATTTGAGTTATGGCGGTTTTGTTTTTAGAAAATAGTAATCTAATTGGTCAACCATTGTCGATCAATGAAAATCTGTCAGTGCCACTGGGATAGTTCATTCTACATACTATCAAATTCAGATCACGTGTATTGTGTAATGTTAACAATGACTAATATTAAATATATAAAATTAACTAATAAAAAAAAAATAAATAAAAAATAAAAAAGTTAAAAAGGGTCACTGACACAAATTGGAGTGTAGTGATTTAGTGAAGTGGATAAGTTGCCAACCTTCCAAGTGGTAGGTAGTGTTACAAAAGTCTCTGTACATTTGTATTTTCTTGCATTATCTGTTTATATATATAAGTTAGTATAGCATAGTAATAGGATTTGAAACCCCAGTATAAGTACAAGACCCTGTTGATTTGTATATATTATATAATTCATAGTTAGCATAATGTAGTAATAGGATTCAAAACTTCTGAATCTAATTTAAGACCTTAATCTAAGTTTTTTAACTTTAATTATGGGTTTGAGACCCAAATCTTAGGTTTGAAACCTGATAATTAACTTTTGTATAAATAGTATTTTTTCTTCACTATTTTCACTTTTTATATTGTGGTAGAGGATCTTGATTATCATGATTTGAAATATTTTGCATTCTAATTAGATCATATATGATTACTAAAATTAAAATTTATTTAGTTTAAATAAATAAATAAATTTATTTTAAAAATAATATTAATATAATAATTATTAATATTTATTAGTTTTTAACTAAAATTGTGTAGTAAATTCTTCATAATATTTTATTTTATTTCTTATTTTTTTACTATTTGCATTTTCTTCAATATACAATTTTATTTTCAATAAAAAAAAAAAAAATTATTAAAAAAAAAATATTTTTTTATATAAATTAATTAATTATTTTGTAATCTTTTAATAGTCTATTAAACTATTCTTTATACTGTTGATCTGAATAATTACTGCCAAATTCAATATTAATTTTCTTACTATTTCTTCTTAGAACATACCTTTCTGTTACAAACAAGTTCATAATATTCATTGTTAGTCTTTTCTATAATCAATTAAAACATATAATTATGAATTAGTCTATATTAAAGATAAATTTATTACAAAATTAATTATAAAAAAAAAAGAAAAAAAATATTTATATAATTAATTACTTTATTATAAATTATATATTAATTTATAAATAAATAATATAAATATACTTAATATTAAGTTTAATATTAATAACCAATAAACAACTCTCTCTATAGATTATTTTACCAAAATTGAACAAAAAATAAAAAATTTTCTAGCAAGAATACAGCAATAACTACTAAGTAAATGAATTTGGGTTTTTAATTAAACTTATTTTATATACTAAATTTAATCTAAATGAGGTGTTAATCTTTGAAAAATTCTTATTAGTAACTCTGAATAGTAATACTACTAAAAACAGTATTGCAAAAAACAACTCTCACTTTAGTAATAATAATCCTAAGGACTTTTATATTTTTATTAACCCAACATAAAAACACAAGATAATAGTTTCAAAAAATATTAAAAAAATAGTAAAAAACTTACAAACTAACCCATTATAAACACTAAACCAGATACAATAAAGACCAATTCTGTAACTCTCTTCGTAGATCACTTGTACCAAAATTTTGCTAAAAACATTTAATTATTTCTCAAAATTT